TAACAGTCAAAATGCACCAGAATGCAGTATTATACATACAGTTTTTAAAATTTTTCCACACCGTGGGACACCCCCTCCCACAACCTCCCCACTCAGGGGGCTTTGCCCCCTTGTGTCCGCTTACTGCCCCCCTGGCATTTTGCTCAGGCTACGGCCCTGCAGACGTATAATGACATTTGAATTATTTTACATATTAGAACGTCTTTCGCATCTTAGTACACCTTTAGGTGTGACTGTCAGCGTACGTACTTTATAAATATATTATTCATTAAATAATGTGTATTTTATCTACACTAATTTAAACAAACAAGAGTTCTCATACACAATATTTATTGTGAACAATATATCTCATTGGGAAGCATATGATCATCATAATCATAATGCTTGCTTAAGCCATTTAATCCCAACATTAAAAAATTTATTGTTATGTTAATTTTCAGGTGGGGTCTAGGTTAAAAACATTTAATTCAAACTTTATTTTGAATGCAAATATTGTTTAATATATTTTTTTGTAAAAATAATGTGCGTCCCATATATGGGACGACGTGCACATATGTAGGTAAAACGGAACATTTTCAGGATAAAACACAACTTTTTTAAAAAAAAATTTAATGACAGAAACAGAAAAATAGGTGGCTGAAAATGCAAAGAATTCAAGAAAAGATATTTCCGTATTAGTTGAAGCCATTTATTCCCACTTTGGGGCTGTAAAACAAAATCAGAGTATTTTAACCAAGTACCCCATATTGAGGCCCATGGAATTAAATGGTTTAATGAAATTAAAATGAACGATCCGCTTTCTGTAGGAAAATAAACATGAATTTTCAATAGTAAAATGGTCGTTCATTGCCGCATTTTTCATGCGAGTAGCGTTGTGCGATGTCATAATACTGACAGCGAGCAAAATATAATTGTACAAAGGCCCCATAAAAAGGTGGGGACATCGCGTCCTTTTTCTTATTTTCTTTGAAATTCAGTGCCCATTTCAGCATTGTATTCAAAGTAACTGCCCAACTTCATTCTCTGAATTTTGTTCCGGTAGCCAAATACTCATTGTTACGACTTCGGATTAAAAGTTTTCTTGCCCAATGTTTTATCTTTTATGAAAAGGTCGTTAACAGTTATTGAAATATTCAAATTAGGATCTACATTTTGTGCATTTTCAATTTGAATCAAATGACTCGCTTTCTTTCTTTTCAATTTCCTGTAAAAAATTTCAAAAATTAGTAAGGTTATTGAATGTCCCATTTTCAGTATCGGTAGGTTAATTCGAATCTGCCTTTCTATTGATTTAGACATTCATCAGACGGTGTCTTTGAACACTCTAGCTTAAATTATGAGTGTTTGTTTAACCTGGCAATATGCGCCTACAGCAACACATTGATTTTAGAGTGCATCGAAACGTTTTGCCGAACAATCCATAAATGAAAAAATTCACAGAAGAGTTTAGCACTGCTAACAGGTTTACCACTTGGAAAGATAGCGGCATATTTCTTTTAATATTCTGTGGTAGTGATTCCGGATAGAAGCCAATAGCAAAAGAGCAACAATACACCAGGTGGAGAACCAGAGAAGAGACCGCGATCAAAATAACAATTTTTGTCATTTCTTTGTGAATGGATAATTTTTGTACGGAAAGCGCTTCACGGCGTTTGGCTATTTCACGCAGTCTGCGTATTATACGCACATTACATGTCGTTATAATTGAAAAAGGGAAAATAAAATAAAAAATAGCGTGAAAAGCAACCCAGTAGATCCTTTGCTCGGGAAAACGGACAACGGGTGGTTTGAAGCAAAATGGGTAGGCCTTGTTCAACGAACACGACTGAAATCCAATTGAAACGACGAAGAAATATTTCGGTACACCGCTAATGAAAGAGCCAATGACAACGACTACTACACACCCCACCCATAACTTCAATGACGAGCTCGAGGTATTCAGTAGCTGTGAAACTGACGAGCAAACCAGACGGTAGCGATCGACGGTAAAAAGAACGCACATCCAAATCGGTATAAGAGCGAGACAGTTGTTGAGTGACCAAAGCTCTCTTGTATGTTTCGCAATAAAGGGAAGGGTTCCGGGTATTAGCTCAATGTAGGAGAATATGGACGGGATGCTGATAAAAAATGTTTGCGAAAGGAGATACAAATTATCAGCAACTGCCAAGCAACTGAGCAAAAAAGTCGATGAATTCTTGACCTTAAAATTTTGAAACACGACAAAAGACGTCGTGTTCAAAATGAGGCCACCCACAGCTATGAAGAAAGCCAAAACTCCACCAACAAAATGAACAAGCACTTTGTAATCGACATTTTCATCCAATCCCCCCTCTAACCTAGTATTATTTGACCTGACATTTGGAAAATCTACTGTCGACTCAGTCTCATTCATATTTTAAAGCTGTCCTGCTTACCTCTGTGTCTCAGCTAACCCCAGGTGCTCATACATGTACAAGAAGCAACTAAACTAAATTTGAAATCATGCTTAAAAATTATGGACGTCCAAATAACGAATTCATTATTTACGTCATAGGTGTCGTCTAGCAATCTTGCCAAAATCGTCATTTGGCTTTTAATAAAGAAAATTACATAATCCCGTCATGGTGTCATTTCACAGAATTTCTTCGTCTCGGAAAGCGCCTTACTGCTTGTATAACTTAAATTGCTGTCATTAATTGTAACAGAGGAAGATCTAGAAGATTAAAAGCTATGTGAGAGAGTTAGAATTATGGAAAACTTATACACACCAGGGGCGCGTCTCAGACAAAAGTTTCAAGTTTCAACATTTTCTTTTTGTAGGCTAATGATGATGCTAAGTCTGTCCAAGAAAACAAAATAATCCATGACTAGTTGATGTATAATAATCCGCATTACATAGATCTTCTCGCCTCTAACAACTCAAAAACAAGAAAGAGCTAGAATGCTAAGAACAACTTTTCAACAAACAAATGCAAACTAGCTCTTTTCTGGAGCAAGAATGAAGTAGGTTTAAAGAACCCTGCTGAAAAACACTTGGCTTTAGTCTGATACTATGTACATATCCCTTATTCTATCACAGGGCTAGGAAAGATCTTTTCAACAAAGTTGTATTCAGGTTCCAAAAATAGATGAATAGATAAAATAAAATAAAAAAGACTCATTTGGACTTACCTCACAAGTATATTTCAGACTTGACATTTCATATGGTATATTATTTTTCCAGTTCATTTTTCAACAGCTTTTTTCCTATTTTACGTAATTACGGGCAGCGCGAGCCAGTTACTTCCAAAGCCGTAATTAATTCTCGGCGCTGCCAGTAATTACGCCGCGGGGTATTCAGGGCACAGACCGTGATCACAAGATACCGCAAATAGATTTTTAGAAAATATATTTTTCATGTGAACGGAGCCTAAATCACGTTTCACGACCATGTGATCAAACTGCACTTCATACATCAGTACTTTTTCTTCAATTGCAAATTAACTAGGTATTTTTTAACACGAACAAGTAATGCCCGATACACGTGTTCCACATGTTTGTCAGGCCTACCCAACTACCAGACTCGGCACCGAATGATCCTGAATTCACCGGTAAATCGGACCACACTACCCGTTTTCAAGGTGTGTATCAGTACGCATTTCACGGTATCAGACGCGACACCGCTCTTGCCTAGTACGCGATGTGATAGTGACGATTCTCAGCGGGGTTGAAAAGCATTGCATCACCACTCAAAATTTGTTCAGGGTATGATACTGTGTAATGCGATCTGACACACACACCTTGAAAACGTGTAGTGTGGTCTGATCTACCGGTGAATTCAGGATCATTTTGTGCCGAGTCTGGTAGTTGGGTAGGCCTGTATGTAGACCTACACGAGAATATTCAAGTGGCAATGCCAAGTGAGTGTTCCATGAATCACACATCAGCGTTATCCTCTACCAGGGCTGCAGTTATTATTATGTGGACATTTCTGGCTGAGGCGAGTACGAAGAATAACCGTAAATTTAACCAGGGACATGTCTTTGAATATCTAGTGAAAAATCAATCTGTGGCCCTGGTAGAGGGTACATCAGCGCATGCCATATACTATTTATACATTAGGAACAATTTTGGGAGAATTGTGTTCTAATTTTAATTAAATAAAACACCGGAAAAGAGATGCTGGAATAAGCTTGCACAATTTCATTTCAATACACTGAAAATTCTTTTTCTGTTAACGGGCCTAAATTAAAACACAAAATTGTCTTCACAGTGGCAGTGCATATACGACAGTGGCGGATTTAGAGGGGGCGTGAGGGGGTCCCCCCTTCCCACAAATGGTCCCCTCTTGAAATTAAAATTTTGACTAGCTGTATCATAGTTCTAATCCGTACCAAATGGCACTGTTTGGCATCTCAAATACCAATTTTGGGCCCTTTTGCGGGCCCCGAACCCCGCATAAGGGGGGGGGGGGGGATCGGCTTCGCATCGCGAAGTCACGTGTTATAGATTTTTAAAAATTCTCTCAAGTATAAACTTTAAAGAGGTCGCAGACGTTTTTTAAAGCTTTTCTCTAATAGCTACATCTCTTTTTAATATAAAACATGATAACTTTACCAACTTGATCTTTCTTAAACCTAAGACGGTAAAACAATGTAGCGGTTTATGTGTATAAAATGGTTGAATAAACTATGTTATTATCACTATCAATCTCAGTTTGCAATAATCTTTAAAAACAAACAACAGATGACAATAAAATATGTTTTGTTATTTTGTATATGAAATACAGTGAGATTTCACCTCCTGATTAATAAAAATATCTCACAAAACAGCTGCAACAAAACTGCCTTTATGCATATCTCATAGTCTTTCTGCACTGCAAGAAACTGTAATAAATTACCAGCTAAAATCCTCGCTTGAGATAACAATTAAAGATACATAAATAAACTTGTGCAATAAAATGAGATAAAGTTTTGAACAAACCAACAGTCTTCAAGTATACTTGATGGTCCCTAAAATCCATTATAAGCAATTAGTATAGCTGCCATTAATTTAAAAGTCAAGTTTCTTGAAATAACATACCAAGGCAGAGAATAGTTCCTCTGGAATTCTCAATACACTGGCTTACTGTCTTATTTTCTAAACCAGGAATCTTAAGTGACAAATATTTGCAATTTCCATGATTCCATGATTCTGACTGTTTCCATTAGCTTTCCATGAGGTGTTCATAAAAAAAAAAAAAGTGTGATTGTAAGAATCCTGATGTGAGCAATCTTAAATCCAGACAAATCAACACCCAATTCCTATTCCAGTAAACATTCATGCTTCTCCTTTCTTCAGTTTTCCAATCACTTCTGAGAGCATCTGGTTACACATAGCTGCATATGGGTTCATAATAACCAGCTGATGTTTGGCAAACTGACTTCCCAGGTCTGCAGCGGCCTTGAAGTCGGCCAGGGCACCCTCGTCATCTCCTGAGAGACATGAAAATAAATAAATAAATAAATAAATAAATAAATAAATAGAAAATAATGTAAAACTTACATAGTCACTAATGTGTGCTAACTCTCTTTGTTAATAAAAATGGGCTGAGACATACTCACAATGGAGAGAGAGTGAGAATAAGTACTCTATACTTCAAACTTGATGCTTATATATGCTCCTGTTAATATGTTAAGAAGGAGAGACAGAGAGAGAATAGGGGAGATGGGGAGAGGAAGGGGATATGATAGAGAAAGGGATGGCAGAATGTGAGCAAGAGAGGGAAGCAGAACATGCACAGGCACACATACCTTCCAACCGTCTTATGAGTCCTCTCTGTGTATAAGCTTGACAAGCAGCCTTGCCAGTCCCACTACTCAACTCAAGGGCCTTGTCTAAATCCTGCAGAGCACCTAATAAACCATTTAACATATTGTTAGTCGTGTAAAAATTAATTTAAATATTCTCAGCAAATTTCACTCATGAATGACAAATAATCTAAATGGCATATTAAGTGCTGCACAGACTAAACTAGTATAACCTTTTCTAGGTTCTTCCTCTTATTAGCATTTTACAATCACAGTCATTATTTATCATCATTATTATTACACTCAACCTTAGTACCTTCCTTCAGTATTAAAACAATTGATCAGTTATTATAATTATTATTAGTGCCTTCCTTCAGTCATAGAACACTTTGATCAATTATCATTATTATTATTATTATTATTATACCACTCACCCTCAGTGTCCCCCTTCAGTCTCAGGACCTGTGCCCTGTTGTTGTAGCCAGAGGCCCAGTTAGGGGCTGTGAGCACTGCCTCATTAAACAGCTCCAAGGCCCTGGTAATATCCCCTCTCTCTGCTGCCTCTACTCCTCTGACCTCTAACTCCCTGGCTTGCTGGACTGGCTCAGTGTTACTGATCACTGGAATAACATAGGGCAAGCTATATTCAGCTCAAGTTTTTGTCGTATTTTAAACATTGTGGTGGTGGTGGTGGTGGTGGTGGTGGTGGTGGTTGTGTGTGTGTGTGTGTGTGTGTGTGTGTGTGTGTGAGAGAGAGAGAGAGAGAGAGAGGGTGGAATTCATCTGATGCTCAAAATTGGTGATAATTATATATTTATACACAATATTAGATAATTAAACACAGAATATAAAAAGACAAAATCAGAAGTTTGCTGAAAGTCTAAGCAATTTTGGCTAATAGTGCCAAACATGAATAACATAATTCTTTTCAAGAGACATTAGAAATATTGTATTTTAATTATATTAGTATTAAATAGTATTAGTATCACAGTCACCTATTATGTTTTAATCGTTGCAAGAAGAATAGTCACAATGCACTTAATTAATTACATGAGGACTTAGTAAAACTGTTCTCGCACCATTTGTGGCTGTTGTTAAACAAGTGTCAACAATCAAGTTGAACTGATGATGACATACTGGCATACGTTGATCATGCAATTAGAAACACTGGACATTATAAGACGCTACCAACAAACATAACTACCTTCTTCCTGTGTAGATTGTTCTGTATCTTCAACAACATCTCCGAAAGGCAAACTGGGGTTGAAAACAGCGTTCAAAACACTGGCGTCGTGAGGTGTTATGTCTTTGCAAGCCATTTCTACATTTTGCGTCGATAGATGGCATAAAAAACAAGACATCACGAGCGTATTTACTTCCCAATTCACTTTCAGAATTTTTATTTTACCTATGCATTTTCATGTAATAAATTGAGATTGTATTTGTTTGTTAAAAGATTAAATAGTGAGATCTTTCAAAAGTAAGTTTTTGACACTCAATAAAAACTGTTTGGCTTGTCATGGTTTGCGCCATCTTTCTTTGAGTGAAATAGTTTCGTGCAATGGCAGAGGAAGAAGATGTTCTTGATAGTTGGGAAGATCTAGGAGATAATGAGGTAAAGTGACTTAATATTTCTTCAGATTAATAAGCGTCGGTAGGAGAGAGTATCTAGTCGATCTTTTCTAAGATTGAAAATAATTCTCATAGACTTCTTGTCAAGCGAATAGAGGGTTTATCTTACGCAAGTTTCGGATTGTCATTGTGGATTTGCCTTTTCACCATCACTCATCAGATTGAACGAAGTGGATCTTGTTATTCTGCCATCCTACAAACAATCACTTGTCCTCGGATATCAGCTTACCAGCCATGTTACTGATGAGTTTATCTGAAAATTTACAAGTAGACAGAAATGAGTCTTTTATTTAAATCAATTTCCAGGCACTGGGAGCTGTTGAAATTTACTGGCATTATTTACTTATCTTTGTTCAACGCTTATCAGTAATCACTGTGGCCAGAAGGCATCCATTTTATGCTACCATATTTACAGTTTGGAAGATAGGTTCTAATGACTGATTTTGACTACTAAACAGGGCAGAGGTCGCTTCTAGTACTCTCAATTTTTGCTTACTATGTATTTCTTCTTCTTGTCTTTCTTCATCTCTTCTTCTTCTTCTTCTTATGGTAACTTTTCTCTTATTTAGTCAGTATAATGTCACCATGTTATTGCTTTTTAGGAGGCTATAGATAAAAAGATAGAGAAGATGAAGACAAAAATAAAAGCTGATGAAAGTATACGAAATCGGTAAGTTTTGAGAAAATTGTGTGGTTGTCTTAAATTCAGGAAAAATTCAAGTTTGTTTAAAACTGATACATTGCAAGTATTGGTAATATAATTCTATCATAGTTTACTCAATTTGATGAGAAAAATATAATTAGAATTTAGTATAAAGCAGTTTTGTTGAACCAGTGACTAATGGTGATTTTTTAAATCCATGCTTAAAGTATTATTTTAAATAAATAAAAAAAATTATACATGATGCTCAAATTTAACAATGAAATTTAAAATTATTGTATTTCATCTTGTGATACAGAAAACTAAATAAATCCCCAGGGCCAGATGAAATATCTGATGATCAGGACACTATGTTGAACAACATTAAGAGTATGGAAACCCTGTCATTGGTATTACATTGGTTTATCCGATACATAATGATATATAACTTTCTGTTGTAGTGATGCTGATGATTTTACTATACCCAAGCTAGAGGAAGACACTGTTAGGACGCAATATCAGCCAGCAGTTAGAATATTAAAACGGAACCCTAACCCAGTAGAGACTCAGGCAAATGGAAGTGCAAATAGGTACTGTAGTTTGAAATGATTTAAATTCAAAAAGCGCATTCGGTACAGATAATCTGTGGACTAAATATGGCCGACTGAACTTAACAGCAGCTCCACTTAATCCTCTGATAGTCAGATTAAATGTCAGCTCCAAGGTGTAATTGCAAGGCCCCTGTAGCGATGGTGTGTATGGAGGCAGGGAAGGCATCACAGAATTACTCACTTTGGTGCTGCTTTTAAGTCAGTTGGCCATATTTAACCGTGGGTCTGTTAGTTTGCGTATCAACTTGCTTTGAATGTCCTCATAGTTCCTGGTAGATTTTTAAGTGATTTTGTAATTGTTTTACCTTTGTAATCCAGAAAGGTGTTATGAAGTACTAACAACTGCATTTTTCAAGCATAACTTGATTACTAGAGGTAGAACCACCTGGCATTTGATCTACAGAACTATTATTTATTGATTGGTTTTATTTATTCAGACGGCTGGTTCACTTGTAAGTTGTCCACATGGATGAGACTACAGTAACCGAAGAAAGTTATCAATTCATCAATTTTTGATAAGACATTTAATTGTTAAACTATTTTTGATAAATCTCCCCTTTAAAATAATTGTTGAAGTGTTGCTAAGCTGAGGTAGTCACTTGAAAATTATTTTTTCATTGTGTAGAGATGCCAAACCAATGAAGACTTTAGAGCAACGAGAAGCGGAATACGCAGAGGTCAGAGCCAGGATATTTGGGACTGACGGTGGCTCAGGAGATGGGGAGCCGAGCACTGTGGAATTAGAACGGTGAGGTTTTAATATTAAAACCAATATCTTTACAGTATGCTTATCATTACTGAAGATTCTCCCTATATCAAGGGGGAGATGGTCTCCGACTTATTGTTGTCTTAAATAAACCTGACATATGCCAGACTTTCTTAAAAAATGAAATTGGGGGAACTTACAAATCAGAGGTGTGTTTAGTAAAGGAGAAGCTGAAATGATATGTCTTCTGGTTGGAGTTGTATGAAATTTCACTTCACAAAATGGAGTTTAGACCAGTTTTCTCAAAAAGACTTGAAAGAACAAAAGTTTGCCTGGATTTTAAGATATAAAATCATGATCTACGTCCGTTCAGTATAAAGTTATAGAACAACTCTGTAAAATTCTGAAATAATCCAGATGTGAGGAATAATTAATTTTTGATGCAGTTGTCTAAACTAATTCTCACTCTGCAGCTTATAAGTTTGAGAAATTATTTGATCTATAAAACCAAAAACGCCATATTTCTTCAGAACCCCAAGACTTTTGGAGCACCAGATGAACAACGTCCGTCTCTCCGACAATGTGGTACTCAGGCAGCCAAAGGGTCCAGATGGGACGAAAGGATTTGGATCAAAGACATAGTATACTGTGCTAAAATTTGATGGACTTTTATCAAAATGTTTCAAGATGATTTTGCAAGGATGTGAAGATCATGGGAAAAATGGTGGGGCAGCTTGAGAGAATTACTGACTCAGAGGCAGCTTGGATGATTTGGAAAATTAAGTCGATATGGAAGATTTGTGAACTGTGAAAGATTGTTAGGGGCAGTTTTAAGGAATATTCTATCAAATATTGGATAGGATGTTCACATTTGTGTCAGTCAAAAAGGTTCCATTTAGTATTTAACTATATTTTACCTAATGACTGACAAACAAAACTTGTCCATTGAAACTGTCATTCCAATTGACCTTAAATGACCTAGAAGGTCAATGATCTGAATTGACACCCCCATAGGTCATTAACCTCTGCCATCACCACCAAGAGACAAACATTCTTGCCCGTTGTTTTGCTGATAATATTTTAAGGAGTGCGCAGTGACGAAAGTCTTGGATCCCATTGGAGCTTTTTCTTCTTCTTTTTTTTTTTGAAATGTGGTGTGACAGGAATGAATCCTTGTGTCCACCATGCTTATGAGCCCCTGTGCTTGTAAATGCTCCCTCCCAGTCCCCCCCCCCCCCCAACTTCTTCAGCACTCCCTGTCCCCATATTGCCCATGGAAAACATGCTTACTTGCAAGTTGATGCAACACAGCAACAAGATCAGTTAATTAAAATGATTTCGGACACTTGCATGTTATGCGTATTATCACTGTTAGTATCAAAGTGCAAAATGTTTGCAGTTGATGCAACACAGCAACAAAATAAATAAGTGAATAATTTTGGACCCAAAGATGTGTGTTTTGACACTTGCATGTTAAGAGCATTGTCAGAGTGCAAAATGTATGCAGTCGAATTGGAAGCATTGTCAGTGGACAAAACTTTTAAAGCAGTTGTTGTGAAAAGATTGCAAAATATGAAAATTAGGTGGAAAAAGAATTGAAGTCTACTCCAGCTGGTTATTGCCCTGGTATCTTATGACATGTTCACATCAGAATTGTTTTAACCCTTCACCTGTCGTGAGCTATTAGGATTAAACCTGGAACCAAGATGAATAGGCTTCGTGTGTTTAAAATTAATCTGGTGTGAAGATTTTTTTGTGATGGTAAATTTTTTTTCATCAAAAAAGGCATTATTTTATGCATCAGTAATTAACGTATTATTATTATTATTTTTCAACCCTCTTAAATACTACTACAAATTTCTTTTCCAAAGAAAAAAATGGAAGGTGAATATCTGTTCGATGATTGTAAGTAAATGTTAAACACATGTAGCATGTTAAAAGAGAGAGTAAGACAGGATTTAAACTTTCATGTATAGATGAAGGTTTGTGTTACTTGTTTCCACTGATAGAATATTCAGAATTCTGTACTTCCCTTTAAAATATATGACAGGATCAAAATTGGTGAAGATAGCAGATTATTTTGATATTTTGTGGCACGTTCTGTAAAATTTATAACAGGGAATGGGATAATCAGTGGTAGCATGGAGTAATAACAGCTATATATATTTTACAAGTAGGGTATGAATGAGATTTATATTTTCAGAATGTTTGATATATATAGGAGCACATATGACACTTACCTTTGTTTCTGGCTTGGAGTTTTTGAATTTTACAGTTTGGCCAATTTAAATTACTAGTAATATGATTTCATCATTAAGTTAAACTTGACTTTTACATAAATTACCCTATGGCATTCATATTTAACACCATCTTTTTGTTCTTTGAAGTGTTCAGTGGGTAAAAGGTATGTGTTTTTAAATATGAAAAATGGGTGAGTTTATGAAATAATTGCATCATTGTTTCTTAGAAATGAAAATGTGTAGCAGTTGTTGTCATTAAAGTAGATCAAGATAATTGTTATAACGCTTTTGTTAGTCAAGCTGAAAATTATGTCATTATCTTAACACAAAATCTTTAACTAAGCTTGCAATTACCTCACTGGTAATTTCTAAAAGGTGGTGCAGTGAAGAAGAAAACAAACAGTTGATGAAATGTGTCGCCATCTATTGATGAAAATTAAAACTAAGGTCAGCCAACTGTGCAGACTATTTTATAAGGTGGTGCCATAAAACCTGTAAGTGGAATGCTTTAAAAAGTTATTTTAGTTTAGCGTGAGCTGCTTTTGTGCAATAGCCGTCCATGTGTGTTAGACCTAAAGTTGTAGTGAATATGATAATTATATGGTACATATTTACATAGAGTTCAACATCATTGAGATGAGAAAATATCTTTTTGGTCAAAATTTAGCAGGGATGGAAAATGTGTATGCATTTAGTTAATTTCTTTATTTTTTCATTGATTTTTTTGTAAGAGGTCAGAAAATTTTGGATTTCGCATACATTTTTTTTTCCAAATTTGATACATTTTCCAACCCTAGCCGTGAATATTTTATAGTAGTGAACAGTGCCTTATTTATGAAAACGAATCATTTCAGCATGATCCTTATACAGTAGTGCAAAGAAAGAAGTGTTAATTATTCTTTCTGGAAATACCTTTCCTCTATACTGAAATTTGATTTAAACATTTTATTGGCATGTGTCCAAAGTATCCTTCTATTACACTTTTTAAGTAATATCCTAAAATCAGTGAATTATTTTTTCTTTGTTAAGAAATTTATGAAGTCGACCATTTTATTTGATTCACTTTCATTACCAAGTCAACATAGAATTTCTTAAAATTATGTTGTACTTCCATCTTTTCTCACATTTTTATTCAAAATAAGTCATTGAAATAAAAAATAAATGCTTGTATTAAAAGTATGATTTCTACAAATGAAGACTTTGTAAGATACAGTTATTAGCAATACAAGATTTATTCCATCCAAGAAATTTATTGTTCCAAATTCCATAAAGTTGCCAGATTAGAAACAAAGCTGAAATTGTATCAAATTTGGATAATATTTGACAAAAAATGTTATAAATCATAAAACTTAATATTAAAATTAATGTAATGGAGAAAAATTAAATGAAGCAAATTTACATTAAATTTTAAAATATTTTACTTGCCCCATCACCTGAGCATTTCATAATCAGCAATTTATTGAATTTTTAAGAGTACAGTTAACCAAGGGCGCAGACACTTAATTAAAGGTATAAATTCCCATTAATTTGTAAAACATTTTAATTAACATGAACATTGGTCTTTTGAAGTACATTCTTTAAAACATTTGGTAACTTAATCATTTGTCTAAAAAGCACA